TTAAATATAGAGTCAGATGTAGCTTATTCCAGCCAACCCCTAATTATTATAATTATCTTTTAAATTTTTGTACAATTGAGTCGCTAGAAGCATATAGAGAGAATAGTCTTATACCCAATTCGAATGATATTAAATGAAAAAATGGAGCCTTAGCATCTCTTCTTATCCTTAGTGTGTATCAAGGGAAAATTTTCTATATTTTCATGTTTTCTTTTGTCAAATATTTATGATAGTTAATTCATTTTTTAAGATCAAATATGTGTCTGTATCCTTAAAGGGAAGGGATCCCATTTTCATTATAAAAAAAAAAAAAAAAAAAACGAGGATTAGTTATGGGACTCACTCCACATCGAACTTCAATGATATGAACTGTTTATTTTGTCAATCTCGATTCAAAGATCATCATTGCAAAAATTAATTCAATACAAAACCATTTGTCTATTTAATTGTCACGATGAAATTTCAATGTTTTCTAGATAACAAAGTGTTCGTCAATTCCTTTAAACTCAACTAGATGTCTCAAATATTTTCGATTTGAATAATATTTTGCAAAGATGATCTATAAAGTGCAATTTGAAGACGGTTCGAATCGTTAAATTCGATGTGTAGTGGGCTCCACAACTAATTCCATTTTTTTATAAAAAAAAAAATAAAGATTTCTTTTCTTAAAGGCTTCTTATATATACATATATTTTTAAGTTATCATTATTAAAGAACATGGTAAGTTTAAAACTATTATAATAATTTAAAAGGAGAAACTTAAAACCTGAACTTTATGACTCAAGATATATTTTTGATAATTGAAGCTTGTGATAGTGAACCCATATTTATGGACTAGGATTCTCGTTCCTCCTTTTTCCATTCCCTTTCATTTCGTCCTCTCATGTTGTTCTATTTTGTCTTTCTCTTGCTATAAAAAATTAACATAAGATGTTGATAGGACTTAACCGTGACCGTTCAATTAGAAGAGGATGAAAAAAAAAGGAGAGAATCCTACTCCCATATTTATAGGGCATTGTGTCATGCCACCTAGATACTATTTTCCAATTTTGTGCATAATGTATGGTATGGTGGTTTTCTCTTCATAAAAGCTTGAAGAACACGGAGGGTATTTGTGTCAATACAAAACATAAGAAAAGCTACGTGACGGAGTTTACACCCCGAACGAACGCTGAATGTTGCGAGGTCAGATTCAGTCTTAGGCCTTTTTAACGGTCGACACGTGCCCCGCTCAAATCCGACACATGCTTCCAGTTTTGCTGCCGTCATCAGGTGGCCCACCAATACAACGGTTTCCATCAATAGAAGCGCGTCACTTGGCACAGGTGCTGTGCGCCCGCCTAACCGCGCTATCGTGAATTCGCGACAAGCCCCATCATTCCTTTGACTATTTTCTCACGCGGATTTTTTCTTTGTTCGAAAGTTTGTTTAAAAGAAAGATGGATACAGAAAAGCAAAGTATGTTATCACACACCCAAAACGAAATTGTATAATATTGTAAATTTTATTTTGAATGAAAACAATAGCTTTATTGATAACAAACTCGATAAGAGTCATGATGAATGACATCTCTAATGACATCAGGGGTTCTTCAAATTATATGTAAACTTGACTTAAATTAATTAATTAGTATTGATCAAATTATTAATGAGAATTGTTACTAATATTTCAAATTTTTATTTTGCCCTTCTCACAAATGTATTTTTATTTTTTAATATAAAAAATTTGGAATGAAAAATAAAAATTTTACAATGTCAATAACAATTCTACTATTAATTATGTAGTGCATTGATGTAAAAGAAATGCTAAGGAGACTCTCTCAAAATGAGATTCTCTATAAACTCTCCGTCACCTCAAGGATTAATATCAATTATCGTGTCAACGTTATAAAAATATTGTACCAAAAACATGAGGTGACAGAAAGTTTACTTTTGAGACTGTCTCCTTAGCATTTTTCTTGATATAATCACAGTTGAATTGCCACTTAGTATTACGGTTTAGTGATATTCCTATTCACTTGTAAGTGAAAGGTCTTAGGTTTGATTTTTCCCAAAGACGAATTTGAATCACATTATTGCTAACCCATTGTGAGGCTTAGTTCACTCCCCGGCTCCTTATTGTAAATATTATCGCTTGTTCAATAAAAATAAATAAATAAATAAAAACAGTTGAATTAGTCCACACACAGTTACATTGTCAAATTCTCGTGTAACCAATTGCTTTATTAGTTGGACAAAGATTGGGCACCCCATAGACTATGCCCTATTGAGTTCTCAAAATAGTAACTCGACCAGTTTGTGATGTGGTTAATGGGGAAATGAATTTGGAGACGATTTTAGGTTCGTTCGGATAAGGTATCATGTGAGTCAATCTTATCCTTATCAACCTCTTATGTAAAGTCCATTGTTTTGCTCCAAAGCTAGATCAAGAAATAGAGATAAGATGGAGAATTTAGTACTATTTATGATTTGGTTTCCTTTTTAAGAATGGGTTTAGAGTATTATTCTTTTCTATTTTGTTTGAAATTCACTTCCTTAATATTTGCGGTTTTAGTTAAAATTGCGATTGACAATTGTTCTTACGCTCACAATCTAAGTTGAAATACAAAATTAGGGTAATGTTAGAGGGAGATTAAATTTTGTAAATTGTATGACGTGGTTGTTGATAATTGGATTATTTCTTAAGTGTGATTAACGTGCTTATTTTTTATTAGTGACACATCATATTGTTTGCAATAGTTTTTCTTGCATTTACTTACACAATTATAGCCCACATTTTGGTAATTTAATTGCATGAGCCAACCCAAAACCCTCATAGAGACGTGGAACATATTTGTTGGGTTTGGCATGTTTGATAGTGTTGCTATATATTGGTTAAAAAGTCAACATAATTTTGGAGGCGTTTGGTTCAATATTATTTTATTTTATGGCGAAATTCCACAAAATAAGTAACAATCTTCGTAGACCAAAACATCAACTAAAAAACAAAAAATAATTACAACATAACTGACCACTAATCTCCTCAAGAACAAAGGTTGAGTTTCTTTTCAAATTTTTTCACAATACAAAGTTATAAAATTTAGTTTAGGTCAATGAGCATATAGAGGTCAATTGAAACAATTCTCTTATTCAACTAAGATTAATAAAAATATTTCATTCGTTGACCTCTTTTTAAAGGGACACAATATTGATTGGTCCAATCTTTGTTGGATATATGAGATGCTATTTACATTTACAAGGGATAGATGAGATACTAACTCGAGTTTTTAAGTTGACATTGTTATCTAAACTTAGATTTAGCCAAATTAGTTAAAATATCGTATTATTTTAGCGCACCAAGTTAAAATTTTTTTTTTTCATAATTTATTAATTTAGTGTAAAACATTGTTAGCGTTGAAAAACAAAACAAAGCTGGATGTTTTCGTCTATTCACTAAAGCTAGAGAAAAGACCAAACTATACGACATATAACTAGCAAGGCCGGTCCAGTTATTGGTCCATGCATGTCCATTGCATATCTTGGACTGGCAATACAAATTCAAATAAAAAATTTAAAATAATTCATTGAAAAATAACAAGGATAAACATGATTTTTTTTTATTTTTTTTTCAGCAACGAGTAAGGACAAGGGTTTCATAAAAAAGAAAGCACAAGGGTTTCATGAAAAAGAAAGGACAAGGGCAGCTTTTTTATCATAAATTTTAGAGTAATATAAGGAGAGTAAATTTGTAGATAAAATTTTAAAAACTAAAGAACGTAAAAGTTGATGATTGGTTTATTGATAACACATTATTTAGTTTGCAAATTGAGTCTTCTTTTCATTATCTTAAATTTTAATCAACGAACTTGAAAACTTACACAATCAAATATGCCTGTAGTGTACTGACCACTTGGTGGTAGTTGGTGAACAGATTAATACAGGAAACAAAGTGAATCATCTGTATAAACGGTGGTCCGTAATCCATATAGTCCATGAACCTAAAGGTATTTTTAATGTCCGTAGGATTGTAAAATTTGTTATCCCCTCTGCAGGCAAATGTGATGCAATCCACGAAAAGGGAGCTTTCAAATTAAGCATCAAATTTTATGCCCTCTCTTAAGACTACTCAAACTCTTGAGCTAAAACCTAAAATTTAGGTTCTAAATCTTTCCCAACTTGTTTCAACCCTCGGACTAAAATCAATTTTGGGTTAGAACTGATTTTTGGGGAAATTTTAAGCCAAAGAACCTGCCAAGGTAAATGGCATGACCCATTGCGCGTGAACGCGCCAGAAAAAAGGGTAGCAAATAAAAAGCAACGCGCCAAAAGCAAAATAAATGGGACACTGTTGTGCAGAAATGGGGCCCAACTTGATGGGGTTGTCGGGCATTTTTGTGTGATCCCAATGGCCTCATTTTGATTGGATGACATGGAGAATAAAACTTAACCCAAAAGAGTTGGAAAAGAAAATTTGTTTCTAGGTTAAAACTTAATTTTGAAGTTAAAATTTTAGATTTTAACCCAAGGGTAAAAGATGGTCAAAATGCCCAAACCATATATTATAATAGATTAATACAAACTTGCAGGCTCAAGTCGCTCACCATTTGTTTCACTATCAATGGGCTCGTTCCACAACGGCATGCATGTATTTTTAATTTCTTGTGTATTCATTAATCTCCAAAGTGAAGTATAAATAGGAGTTACAATTTGTATTACATATACATTTCTTCGATGTTAAACAAAAGATTACTATTTACACTTAACTAATATTTACACATATAACTCACAACACTCTCCCTTAATTGGAGTAAAGATGTCGTGCACGCCCAACTTGTCAAGCGAGTTGAGAAACACACTAATAGACACAACCCTAGTAAACATGTTAGTGAGTTGATCTTTAGATCCCACAAATGGAAAAGCAATAATTCCAGCATCTAGTTTTTCATTGGTAACAGGTAAGTCGATCAATCTCACATGTTTTGTACAATCATGTTGCATTGGATCACTGGATTATGAGCAATCTCAATAACACCCTTTTAATTTATCACAATTGAGTTTCATAACACCCTTGGGTTCAAACCCAAGATCCCTCAACAATTTCTTGAACCACAATAACTCACATACACCATGAGACATACCACGAAACTCAGCTTCTGCACTTGACCTAGCAACCACTTTATGTTTCTTGCTTTTCAAATTAACCAAATTACCATCAACAAAAGTAAAGTTTCTAGATGTAGACTGCCGACCACTGATAGAACGCGTCCAGTTTGCATCTATATACCCTTTCTACATTCAAATGACCATTCGTGTAGAAAACCAAACATTTGCTAGGAGCCAAATCCCAAATGAAATTCTTTTCTAGAGCTTTCATCTCAACATTCATGGCATTAACCTCATTTAGGATCAAAGAAAACATCTTGCAATTTTGTTGGAACATATACACTACATAGTTGACATATGTAGGATGCATATAGGTTGAAAAAACAATGAGTGGACACATAATTATTGATATAATACTTTGCTTTAGCATGCATATCATGCTTATATTATTCTTTAGGTTTTCCATTGTATGTTAGCTCGTGGAGGCAACTGAGATGAAGACAAACCATCAAAATTTACCTCATGTGTGTCACCATCTTTTACCAAACCATTAAAAGAATCATCACTGCATGAACCATCAACAAGTAACTCATCAGACAATCCAGCAACAAGCGATCGGTCATTAGCAGACAAAATCTCTAAACCCATGGTATCACACATAGGCAACTAGTCGTTGGGTGCATCTAACAACAGATAGAGCTTCAGAAATGACAGTCGATCGATATCGGTCGTCATCTATAGCCGACCGGTCGCGTGTTATCACATAGCAAAATAGATTTCATCCCTAATTTGGCTTGTAACATATCATCCACACATCTTCGACTCAGGCCTAAAGGCTCTGGTGGTAAATGAGTATGGCCACATGGCAGTATTACATATATACTTGCCATGTTAGCAAAATCAGTTAGATTTGGTTGTAAGATTTGGTTAGTTGGATAAGATTTGTTAAGATTTAGTTAAATATGTTGAGAGGTTTCTTCGTCATTAAGAAAGTGATTATTTCCCTTTATATATATTTTGCTCCTTGGTCATTTAATGAAAAATCAAACCGTGATTATATCCCTTTATATATATTTTGCTCCTTAGTATTACATTTCTTTCTCTGAGCTTTTCTCTTTGTTTTTCATTCCGTTTCTTCGTCTTCTCATATTCTTGATTCAATGTTAAGCTTGATTCTTTTGGTTAATAAGATTTACCATTTATAAAAAAGCAAAGAAAACGCGTGAGACTCTCTCTTTGGTTTTCCAACCTTGCAAACTCCTTTACCACCAGCCCTAGCCTTTGGTTCGGGTGCTGGTGGTTTTCCTTGTCCAAGTTCCTTATTCTCCTCTTTCCCTCTTTCTCATGATCCTCTTCTCTCTTTTTCAATTTCCCCTTGAGATTTTTCTTAGTTTCCTTGAGCTTTGTCTCAAATTTTCCTGTGAGTTTGTCTAACTTTTAAGCTTTATGTCCCTCTTCTCCACCCCTCCATTTCCTTTGGCTGTTATTTTCCAAATCCAAAACACTATCTCCCCTCATTTTTCCCCTCTGCCTCCCTTCCCCATAAACCATCCTCACCTCATCCTTTGCTCTAATCTGCAAACTTTGGGCCGAATATAGTTGCCAGATTTATTTCCCCCCTCATTGTCCCCCCTCAAATGGTTTGCCGGATTTCCATTGAGGCCAAGTGTACTGTGGCTTCGGCCAAAGTGAGGGTTATTATAAAGTAAACCAAAAACCAATCAAGCAATAAACAAAACACAACGACTTCAGAGTTCCTCTAATATAGGAGTACCTCTCTAACAACAGAAGCTTTATTGATTACCAACAAATACAAGAGAACTCACAAACACAAAGTGTTCTTAAGTATACAAACTTATGCCTTTCACAACTTTCACACACAAAACTCTATCCCACATCCATTTATTTATACTAATAGATATCCTAGGTTTACACAAAGTTCCTAGAATATAGGAAACTAAATCCTAGACTAAAACAAATCCCAAACCAACTAGGAAACACAAATCCAAATATCTTGCGTCCAAGATATCCTAATCCTTTTTCAGTTTAGGCATGTTGATTTAATGTCAAATCCAACAACCTCCACCTTGGCATGAAATCCATAACGAGGCATCCAACAACTTTCGTTGCTCCACCATATCGCAAAATCAAACTTTCTTCAACTGCACCAAATCCAAGTAGTGCTCGAACTTAGCTGCATTAACCACTTTTGTCAGCATATCAGTTGAATTATCTTTTGTAGCAACTTTTTTTAGACGAATCTCACCTTCAGCTACCACTTCTCTCACAAAATGATATTGTACATCAATGTGCTTAATCCTACTATGATGTACTTAATATTTGGCCAAATAAATGGCACTTTGGCTGTCACAGTATAAATACAACTTGTGTTGTTCTACACCTAAATCTCATAACAACCCTAGAGTCCACATTGCTTCTTTGATAGCTTCAACGATCGCCATATATTCTGCTTCTGTGGTTAATAGTGCCACCGTTGGTTGTAATATTGATCTCTAGCATATAAGACCATTTGCCATAGTAAACACATACCCAATCGTTGATCTTTTCTTGTCTGTGTCTCCAGCAAAGTCTGAGTCCACATATCCAATTAAGAACTTATCAATTCATTCATCATATCTTTCAAAACAAATACATTTGTCCCTCGTTCCATGTAAATACCTTAGTATCCACTTAGCAGCATTCCAATGCTCTCTTCCAGGTTATGCATGAACCTACTAACAATTCCAACTGCGTGTGCTATATCAGGACGAGTACATACCATAGCATACATTAATCCTCTAACCAAATTAGCATGTGGAATACCATCCATCTTCATATTTTCTTCATCAATTCTGGGACATTGTAGATTGCTCAACTTGAAGTAAGCACCTAATGGAATTCCTACAGGCTTATTGTCTTTTGTTACTCCAAACTTTCATATAAACTTCTTAAGATATTGCTTCTGAGACAAACACACCAAACCTTTTTGTCTATCCCTTGTGATCTCTATTCCTAATATTTTCTTGACTTCGCCAACATCCTTCAATTCAAACTCCCTTTTCATTTGCTTCTTCAATTTTTCTATCTCTGAAATATTGCTTGAGGTTATGAGCATGTTGTCCACATAGATTATCAAGTACACGAACGAACCATCTTTCAACTTCTTGTGATAAACACAGTGATCATAGTGACTTATGGTATAGTCTTGACCCTTCATAAACTTGTCAAATCTTAAATACCATTGCCTGGGTGACTGCTTCAAACCATAAAGAGATTTTCTAAGCTTACAAACCAATTTTTCTTTGCCCTTCACTTGATACCCCTCGGGCCGTCTCATATAAATCTCTTCATCCAAATTGCCATGAAGGAATGCAGTCTTCACGTCTAGCTGTACCAATTCAAGGTTGAATTGTGCAACTAGGGCAAACAATATTTGAATGGATGAGTTCTTAACCACAGGAGAAAAAATCTCATTGTAATCTATTCCCTCATTCTAAGCATATCTTTTAGCCACTAGCCTAGCTTTAAATCTTACCAAGATCTTGTCATCCCCTCCATCTTTCTTTGCATAAACCCATTTGCAACCAATTGCTTTCCTTCCTCTAGGTAGCTCACCAATTCCCAAGTCTTATTCTTATGAAGGGAGAGCATTTCATCGTCCATTGCATCATACCATTTACTCTCTTCTTCACAATTTACTGCTTCTTCAAAATTAGTAGGAATTTTAGCCTTAATTACTGGCAATGCAATCTTTATATCTCGCAGGTAAGGATATCTCTTTTTCCCTTCCTTTTGGATATGCAATCATTTTGTATCTTGAGTTCTTCTGATGATGTTTCTTTTTTGTGATCACTATTTTCATGTTCAAGTTGATCACCTTGTCTTTCTTTTTCCACAACTTTCTTACTTGGCTGTGAATTCACAACTACTTGTTCCCCAAGCTCCACCATCTGAACATCTTATTTCAATTTCATGTGACTTTCATTAAATGTCACATCTCTACTTACTATAATCTTGTTCAACTCAGGACACCAAAGTCTGAAGCCTTCATACCAATATTGAATCCCATAAAGACAGCTTTCTTGGCTCGTAGTTCCAACTTGTTTTCCTTCACATGAAAGTAGGCATTGCATCCAAACACTCGTAACTTATCGTAGTCCTGAGTTGGTTTTCCAGACCACACTTCAATGGGTGTTTTACCCTTCAATGATGTTGATGGTAGTCGATTAAGCACATGACATGCATAGCTCAAAGCTTTTGCCCAAAATCTCTTTGGCAGCTTAGCTTGAGATAGCATGTAACGAACTTTCTCGAGCAAGGTCCTATTTAGTCTCTCTGCAATCCCATTTTGCTTTGGAGTATGTCTAACACTGAAATGCCAAGTAATCATTTTCTTTTCACACACTTCGAAGAAAAGATCAGAGGTATATTCCCATCCATTGTCACTTCTCAGTATCTTAATCTTCTTTCCAGTCTTGGTCTCCACCATATTCTTCCATTCCAAGAAGATGTCAAGAACCCCGTCATTTCGTTTCATCATATATATCCATGATCTGCGAGAGTAGTCAACAATAAAAGATACAAACTATCCTTTTCCACCTAAAGAAGCATTCTTTGCAGGCCTCCAAACATCAGAGTGAACATAGCCCGAAATCCCTTTCGTTTGATTAATAGCTAAGTCAAATTTCATCTTTGTTTGTTTACCAATACCATAGTGTTCACAGAACTCTATCTTTCCAGTTTTTGCTCATTTTAAACACCCTTGCTTGATCAATCCTTGCAATGCTTTTTCTTCTACATGTCCCAACTGTTGGAAATGTGCCCTAAAACCAATCATATGATGATACTTTATGGACATTTCACATGTTAAACTAATCTAGTTTAATATTAAGGGCAAACATTATTGTTTGAGCCGTCTCATATAAATGTTATATGCTTAAACGATAAGTCCAAGGAATATGTGATTGGAAGAATGCGATCTAAAGAAGTTAGATTCATGAGACCATTCTTTCGTTGACACATCCTAAACGTTCCTGATCATAGGATTGTCAATTGGGCATTGACAGTCCGTTAAGATCAGTACGTGTTATGTCTTCTCTCAGGGAGAGTGACTAGTCTCGAGTCATTGGTGTGTGTGACATCAAGACAAGTACGTAGGTGCTCAATAGAGAATGAGTTCACTGAACACGATCAACGAAGAGTTCTCATATTCATGTCACATGAGAACTCATGGTTGGGATAATGCAAATTAGTCTTTTGACCTGAGACATCACAGTTGTCTTGTGGTTAGGTCCTTAATCTTTGATTATGTCAAAGTCACTCCATCAGGAGGGTGTCCATGGCATCATTGGGGTTAAGCCACTTAGCCATGGAGGCAAGTGAATGCGCAACAAGGGATCTCTAACCTTCAAACTGTTTGAGGGAGAATACTCTATGATATGATTGAGAATCTTTGGCCAAAGTATGAATGAGATTTAGGAATGTGTTCCAAATCACATTCAAGGTAATCATATAAGCACAAGACTCACATTGGATAGTAGACATGAATAAACTATCAAACCAAACAATGTGGTCAAGAGTATTGTATTAGAGAAAGACCGTATTGCATTTGTAATCCTAAAACTGAATAGGTTCTCCACCTCTTCTGA